AGTAATTACAATGACAATTCTAATTAAATTCTTGTTACTACTAGTAATTACTACTACTAGCGTGGCACTTGTTCCTAGTAGGACCAAAGGAATGCTCCGCTGAGAAGTCAGACCTCTACGGGGAGAAACTGCTTTTTCTTGAGGGGTTAACCTCTTGACATACCTGGCGGTCTATGCTCTCTTCTGGAGCGGTCATTTCGAGTCCTGGCGCTTGGCGTACGCGCACCCACATGAAGTGACGAATGGCGGGGCGGTCGACCAAAGATACCAAGTCATCGCCTGAGGCAGCTGGCACATGTGAAGCTCTTGGCCATGCACACAGAGCTGTGCCGCAGGCCGTGCCACGAGCATTCCAGTTCGGCCATCGACCTCATCGAGCCAAGCGATCCAGGGCCTTTCTCCACACGGCCCTTCAGTCCAAGTGTTTTCGGGTGTTTTTGCATGTTTTTGCCAACTCATCAGGTATTTTTTCTGCTGCCTCCAAGCAGGAGAGGGTGGGAACTGCCGACTCGAGCCATAGCCAGGCAGCTTCGCCATAGCCAGGTGCAAGCTGCCGTCCATGAACTGGGGTTGGGGGCGCTTCCAGGGCCTGAGAAACATCACGAATAGCTCGTGGCCGCTGGAGAAACCCCAGCCCAGATGCAAGTTAGTTAACTGATATGGTTGGGTGTCTAGATCGATGAAGTTTCCGGTGAAAACCAATCACCGGTCTACGGTATACCGTGATTTGTGCAGCGAGGTCTTCAAATCTAAGCTGTTGGCTCGCTTTGTCACGCAAGCGTTGCCTCAACCCATGATCTGAAGTCTAGATACCCCCAAGCACCCCGACAGCAATGGCACCTATATCCTTCCATGCGTATAAACGCTCGAACAGCTGGGTGGTGAGTCACAGTCGGCTTGAGGAATCGATGCATGACTATGGCCTCGAGGCCGATATCATCTCATACAACAGTGCTATGAGCGCCAGCCAGACGCTTGGCTGTCTAGGGTGCCTGGCCACTTCTGGAACGTGCCTCGAGGAGGTTCCGATGATTCACGCAAAGGCAACAGTGCCAACACGAGGTTTGGAGACTGACGGAGCATGGACCCAACGATCAAAACACCCATGCGGGCTCCATGGGTCCATGGTGTTCTGACCAGTCAAGGACACGCATGGTTTTTGCACAACAAACCTGCCTTTTACGCATAGCAACCTTTGCATGCACCAAAGTTTACAGCGTGTTTTAATGCCGCACGTGTGTTTTGATTTGGGAACTTGGAAACTCCAAATCCCAAAGTGCACAAACAAAATGGCACAACAAAACGGTTTGTTGTGGCTGCGTCTGTTTCCGGATGCAAGAAACTAAGCAAGATGGAGTCCAGGAAGAGCAGCCGTTGGCGGTTGGCGCTCTACACTCTACACTCTTTGGCCTTCCCCAGAGGCCTACAGCTGGATGGCGCCTCGAAACAAACCCGTCGCAGAAGCTCGGGTCGGTGGAAGCGGTTTTGGGTGAGCGAAACGAAAGAAACAACTTCACACGAAAGGTGGTTTCGTGAGGTAGTTTTTCTGTTGGTTGCCAAATCGTTTGCAGATATGTTCCGATTTGTGATATCAGTTTGGGAGTCTGACACCATTGTTGGCTTTCTGCTGTGCTTTTTGCACTTCATCAGCAACAGTTCCACCCACAATTCCGAAATGTTCCATTTAGGTACATGCATTCACCCGCCACACGTCACCACGGTCCGCCGCATTTAGGTACCATTTAGGACAATGTCCGCATTCACCACATTTCACCCGCCAAATGCTGAAACCATGGTGCCATCCGCCTTGGGGACCTCTTCTCCCACGGTCGGTCAAACGGGACGTTTTCGCCGACGTGATCGCCGCGATTGGCCTTTAAATAGCGATGGCCTCCACCCTAGTAGCTTCTAGGTACTAGAAAGCTTCAAGGACATACTAGTAGCCTTATGGCTACTAGCTAGCAATGGCCTCCAACCTTAGCGATGGCCTCCAAGGCCATTTCTTTCAAGGGTCAATGATGGTTGTACCTGGACCATCCAGATCGTACATTGGATGGTCAATGTACGCCCCTTGGATGGTCGGTATACCCCCGGTACCCCCGGTAACCGGCCTCGGTCTCACCGGAGGACAACGGTCTCGACTCTCGGTCTCGTCACCGGAGTCTGTTCGTCACCACATCACTAACGGTTACGTGGATGGCATGAGCCTGGTGGAGGATGCCTCGACTTTCCTTTACAAACAGAAGGTGCCATCCACATTTATACAGACGTGAGTCTGTCAGAGTGTCTGTCATGGCGTGATCGTATTTGATCTCTTTCAGTCAGGTCCTGACCTGGAGGGGTCGCGTTTTTTGGGTTTCGCTGTTTCAAAGGAGGCAAAGAAGGAAGACAGAAATCCACCAATTCGGAAGACCAAGTGTTTCTTTCATCCTCAGAATCCACATCATCTCAACTTGGGAAGCAGTGGTGGGCATAGTATTCCTAGGGATCCACATACCTTCTCAGAAGTTGTTTGGACCCTCTAAACCTATATATAGACAAGTGTCTCCAATCACCTTCTCAGGGTATGTGGATCCATAGGGTATGGAACCTTCACACTCAAAAACAATGACTTCTAGCAGCGTTGTTGGGGCCTAACATACACTCTGATGGCTTGTGCCCGTACCTGAGATGAAAGGTAAGCGTGTGACGTGTGACGTGTATCGAAGGATCTGCTGTTCAATCCGGGCACGGCTCGGTTGGCAAGGAACCAGCTACGGAACCGCCACCAGTAGCTGTGCCAAAGCCTCGTGTCTGGGCTTTTGGCTGGGGCGCCCTGCCCTCGACGGGCTCGCCGGGTTTGGCTCAACGTGGAAGGAAGAGTTGGCGGAGGTTCCAGTGCTTAAACCATTAATGCGACAACCTGAACCGGCTTTGTACAAAAGACCGATTGGTTCCACTCTCAACCAGCAGCGTGAGGCCGTGAGACGTTTTTCCAGGTGTTTGTTTTTTTTGCTTGGGCTCATCATGGGCAATTCAATATATGGATTTCGCCAAAGCTTCTTGGTTGGGGAAATTTATTTGTTCTTTCTGTCCCTGCAAGATCATGTGGTTGTTTATTTGAGCCATCAAGCATTAAGATCAGATGTTCCCCGGACACCATTGTCTGCTGGTGCAAGAGTCCACGACCACGACGAAGCGATCATCACGCGCATAAAGTTATGGCCTCATGGGTTGAAAGTGTCATAGGCAATGGTTTTGTTTGAGTCAGGCTGCCCTTCCGGCGTTGGAGCTTGCCCGGCCGAACCAAAAAATACGTTAAAGCAATAATTACTGTAATTGATTAGTTGTTGTGTGTTATTGCAATATAAAACATCGCAGACTAATAAGGAGTATAGCACTGAACTAGACTATACAATATACATGGATTTCTTTGACGCCATTGCATTGCTAGCATTTGGAGTCCTGCAAGAGTGTGAAGAAATGATGAAATAGGACAGTGTTCTACAGTGACATGCAGATGACTTTTTCGGGACATGTTCTGAAGCTTCTGAGTTCATGGTTTTCATGGTTTTCTGAAGACCCGAAGTCAGTCCGAAGTCCTGTGGTGTTCACAAGAGTTTCTGTCTTTCTCATGTGACATGAACTATGGATTGATAAGGTTGTACGAATCTCAAGCTGTCACCTTGAAACAAGTCATTCACTTCCGAGGCAAGAAGCTTATATTCAGAAGAAACCCTTCAAACAAGTCATTCACTCTACACTCCCAAGTCATTGTCGTTACGTGTGGAAAGAGTGAGTGGGTGAAAACCACCATCGACTGGTTCGGTGTCATGACATCGCACATCGGTGCCATCCACGCTTCGAAGCGCACCTTAGAGCTCTCGTCGCGCACCTCGCCGCTTCGTTGGTCGGACCGAGGCGTTGGTCGAGCGCTTTGGCGCTCTTCGCCCAGCACTTTCCACCGGGCGCGCGACCATACCGTGCGACCCGACGTGGTGCTGTGCAGCGCGGGCGCCGATGCGTTCGGTGCAGGTGGTCGCTGGGAAGACGCCTGCAGACCAAGCAGGGAGGTCGCCGTGCGCGCGGTTCGGGCGGTTGGAGGCGGATAGATTCGGGTTGCTGAGACGGGTGGCCGCGGGGGTAGCCAATTGTGGACAGCCTGGTTTTATGCTGCCAAACTGTAAATCCACATGGGGAAGAGTTCTTGGTTTTAAAGGTTCTTCAAGTAAATCCAAGACTGTCTCTAATATAATCTCCATAGGCTGTATAGAAATCAGGCAATGCGGCAACACGAGGAACAAAAGGAATCACCGACACTTTGTGGGCGGTGTTTTGTTGTAAGGGATGGCCGTATAGATGTCCGGTTCGACTGTTTGTGACACCGTATACCAATTAGATCTCAAGGATCTTCCTAGACTCCGGTGACCATTTTTGACATACCCCATGCGACTGGAATAGATGTATATTCGGGAAAACGACCCAAAACGTGTTCGACTTCGGGGTTGTTCAGCGAATGCGGTCGTTCGGCTGCAGCCGCGACAGTTCCGGGGTGTGAACACGTTGGTAGCACTGGGGGACACTGAACGTGAACGTGAACTGTGAATGTGAAAATTGAACACGTCATGATCATGAACATGACATGAACATGACATGAACATGATGTACTAAGGAGGTTTGGACGCTTTGACACGTTCGCTCTAGCTCGCTCCGCTCGTTCACTGGCGTCTCCGCTCGCCCGAGACGTCGGTGGGAGGGATGGAAGATGCGTGGCGATTCGCTGAGGAAGTGATCGGTTTGCTGCCGGCGATGTCTCAGCAGGGCTCCTTGGGCGAACGAAGAGGAGTACGTCGAGACGTGGGAGTTAGAGTTGGCCTCCTGGACGTCTGACAGCTTGGATTGGAAGATGTTCCTGTGTTGGAAGGGGCTGGTGACGGCTGATGTGACCAGTGTTGTTTGCCACCCTACCGCACTCCGCGGCCACGACGTTGCGACCCTCCACGGCTCCGGATCTCGTGAACTCCTTCATTCCGCCCTCACTCCCAGGCATTGGTCCCAATGCTTTCACTCTCAGCTCCACCGTAGCTGCTTGCGGACGCCGCCAGCAATGGCTCAAAGCTTTACTTCTCCACGCAGCGGCGCGTCGAGAGGCGGCAGAGGCTGCGGTTCCAACGCCTAGCGAGCTCGTGGGCGCTGGCGTCGGGGCATTGGCCCGCGCGGAGTGTTGGTGCCCTGGCGCGGAGGGTCGCGGTCCGGCGGTCCGGCAGGGACGGCGGGGACGGGCGAGATGAATCAACCAGGCACATGAAGTCTCCACCAGGACCTTCTAAGAGGTGTCTGGTGGTTAAGGGGTGTCCAAAAACATCCAAACAACACCTGTTGGACACTCCTGGTAGGGACCCTAGAAGAGCGATGGCTCCGGCATAATAGCAAAAGGAACCTAAAAAGCAATGGCCTCCACCTACTAGCAATGGCCCCCAACCAACTAGTGATGGCCTCCACCTACTAGTGATGGCCTCCACCTACTATAGAGATAAATAATATCACTATTTTTTGGAGAAGGGCCTGCAACTATTTGCAACCTCACCATCATCATCCATTCCCAGACACTCCATGTAACTTAGTAACACACATTTACCTACATTGGGGTGGTTTCAGGGGTCAATGTAGGCATATTTGCGGGCACCGAAGAAAGACCTCATCTTCTTTTGTCAAAGGCCCAAAGATTTGTTTGCTTCAACGCATGGAAAGGACGTGAAAGAACACCACACCCGGTCCAAGGCAAGATGCCGGGCATTTGCTGCAAAGCCTCCAGCTGGCACGTGGAGCTATTGCAGCTCGGAGAAGCATCGGTTTTGGACGTGAAGAATGTGTTTTTTTGTTTTCCGTGAAGAGATGAAATCCTTGCACATGCCCTTCAGATGAAATTGTAGGAAGTCCCAGAAGGCGCAGCAATCGGACATTTCTCCTGTCGAAAGCATGTTCCCCTGTCCCAGGAGGAGCCCTTTGGAGCAACCATTTGGGACTTGGGACTTGGGTTTCAGGTTCTGCAGCCAGTTGGCGCAAGATGCCTTGCGAGACTGCCATGGTTTTCGTCCTTCCTGGTTTGGATCAACACCAAACGTCCGTTGATACACGGGCGACGGGCGTCTAGCATCTCGAATCCCACCAAGGCAACCACCATGGCAGTCACTCTACCCTGCAAGTCCAGTCGACTATACAAAGAATGGTCTTGAGGTGACCCGAGTCAAGGAATTTCCTTGACTTCAGTCGGTCAACATATGGTCGAACTGGACTTCCAGGGTCTATTCCACCATGAAATGTTGGGTTGAGCACAGAAAATGCACAGAATAGCCTATCATGGAAGTCAACTTCAAGAGGTTTTAGGGCTCCAGGTTTTGACCCACAACCAAATCTCTCAGATCCATGTATTAAGTCCTATAGTAGAGCCAATCAATTGAACTGCTGAAGAGCTGAGTTGCAAGATTCGACACTCCAAGCAGATGCCACAATCCCCACGTTTGGTGGTTTCTACGGACCCCAATCTAAAAGACATGTAGGGGGGTTGTGCCATCTACGTATACTCTGAAACCACTGCAATTGGAACTTGAAACTCAGATCTGACTCTTCCGATTCCTCAGCTTGGGGAGCTCAAGGGCAAGTCATACTCTCCATACTTTGCATGAGTACAAAAACATCCCCGAAGCATCCAGTGGCACCAGCCCTTGCGACAAGAAGGGTCGAGTGGCAAGCTCGTGCCTCGTGCAAACCGAATGGCCAAGGATCGACCAAGGATGCCTCGTCCCATCGGCCATGACTGACGTCGATGTCATTTCTCTTACGTCATTTCTAGCCTTCCAAGATGTTAAACATGACTTGGCTCGGGGTGTATGCCTGGGTTTTGCTGATCAGGTGATGTTTTTATTGTCCCTATGGGTAAATCCCTGAAGACACTCCTTCTGTGCAATATGTGTGGTTTGTTCCAGGTTCCTTAAGCACAGCCAAGAATGTCACCCCTAATCTCTTGGACCCACTCTCTGCCACGGCTGTGACCGAACCTACACCAGACCAGGCCAGCGTGGTGGCGTCCAACGCAGCACTGGGCGGCGCGGGCGGTGTGGTCGGCGGCTGGTCTTGGGCGCTGGGGCTTTTTGCAGGCCTGGCCTTGCCAGACCATAAGCTCCTAGTAGCGTCCTTGCTCCTAGTAGTCAGAGGCCAGGAGCCCCGTTCGTAGACGTCCGAACGCTCCTAGGCCTGGCCTTGCCAGACCTCCTGAGCTACGTGGCCAGCATCACCGGGGTTTGAACTCAGTACCAGCTTCGGTCGGGGGGCGGGTTGCTGGCCTGGCCTGGCGTGTTTCTGGTGTTCTTTTTTGGGGGACTTTCTCAAGTGGCAGGTGGGAACCTGGCAGGTTTCGGGGCCCAGGTATTTTGGTGTGTGTTTTTGTGTTTAAGGAACTTGAGAATCATTCAAGCTCTAACAATTCCTTGGGCGCTCCAGTCCAGACCTTTGCCACCCCCCTTCCGGTGGATACTTCAGGCCCGGCTTCTGCTCCAACGGTTTGAAATGGCTTGAAGTCCCTTGCACAAGAAGTATTAAGTGGTGTTTGGGGAAATGTCCCTCTTGCGACCTGCGAACAAGGTGCTTTCCCTGCTTTCCCTGCTTTCGGCCCGCAATGGGCCGGGACCTTCAGTTCCGGTCGGTCCACCTGGTGGTCCTGGTGGTCGGGCGATCCTGGCGCGGACTTCATCGACCAGGTTTGACCAATTCCCAGACACGACCTGGCACCCGGGACTGCCAGGACGGACTGCTGCCCCAGACAGACGCCCCTTTCAACATCTTCTTTCAACCACCCCTGGCCGGAACTCTGCAGTCCGGACTGCCCAGTCCCAGACTCGTCATGTCTGGATGAACTGGAACACCCGATTCCGGGTGGACTCCCACCCGTGAGGTTCAGGAACTCCGACCTCCGAACCGGCATCCCTCGGGTCCTCGTCCGGACCCTCGCGGTGATTCGGTCGTGTGTCCATGAAGCACCCCGGTCCGGTTCGCACTGATGCGGTCCGGGTCGGGTCGGACCGGCGCCGACCACCCATGCGAAAGCGGTTTTGAGACCCACAAGACGCCAGCCGAGGTTTCAACTCGGCGTTGAAGGCGTGCGAAGTGGGGAGTTGCTGGGATGGCGCCTTGGGCCAACAACTCGACATTTATTGTAGATAAGTATGAATCATTGTCCCCTAAGAATCCGGGCCCGAACCAACACATATAGGGTTTGGTTCAGGTCCGGACCCCTGCTATCGAGGGTCCAACTCTTAGTGTGATATAGTGTGATATAATATATATGGTCAATCGTCTTGTGAGTCCTGATGTACGATCCCATCATCATTCATGTCCAAAGAATTCCGAAGGACGCGTTCATTCATGTTTGTGTTTCTGAGAGCGAAGAGCTCTCAGGTGTTCATTAGGACGAACCTTCGACGAATAAGCAATGCATATATAATAATACTGTTGATATGTATACTACAACATGGAGGATGTAAAGCGGTTCTGGTAGATTCTACGAGGGTTTTAATTGATCAGCGGTCAAAAGTTTAAGGACATGCTGCACACCCATGAAGCACAAGCAATCCGACTATATACTAAGGTGCCTTAGCGCTGCTCTTCCGACTACACAGTACCTGGAGATTGCAACCGGATTTCCTGAGCGAAGGCCAGTCGTCCGAGCTTTGAGGCGGTCGTCCGACGTGCAAAGGGTATTCCCCGAGTTGTCAGTTTTGGGTTCCCTGAGAGAAGGGGACGGGAAGGTTTCATGGTAGGCAGACCCGGCTTCAAACGGCCAATTCTGAGGGCCTCAGAAAAATGAAACCTCTCGTTCATCGGAGTGTCAGAGCTCCGCCGCAGAAGTGACATGAAGGGGTAGGGCAGATATGTGTGTTTCATGACGTAAAACAGATCTGATCTTTCCCTGTCGCCGCAAATGGATCGATCCAGATTCTGATTCATGGTTTTTTTTTGGTGTCCTCATTTCTACACGCAAAACACATGTCTATCTTCCCACTCTTATTTAATATAGAAATTGACATGGTGGATAAACCAAGCCGGTCAAGCGCTTTGCAAAGAGAGGTGTATTGATCACCCCAGTTTTTTTTCGGCACGTCGAATGGTGACCAGCTGCACCCTCTTGAAGACGAAATGTCTTACCCTCTTGTATTCTCCAAATAGCACTGATCAGAGGAATTCACTTTTTCGTGTCCATCGCACGATTTCATGCCCTCCCAAAAACCACCCAACAACCCTGCCCCAACAAGAAACCACGCGCATTCATGGGTGTTCTTTCTCATTAAGGAACTCCCATTTTAACTGCAATCTGCCAAGAGCCCGCGCCAAAATCCACGACGCGCCTTTAGAAAGAAGCTAACTACTAGTAACAGGGCATCTATCCTGGCAGCAAGAAGCGACAAGGCCACGTGACGGGTGCCCGGCATCCGCCGCTTTCTTCGAGGCTCAGCCGTCGAGGCCTGTGGCCTCCTGAGCCGTTGGCCTTGGTCCTTGCAGCTCTTGCAGAGGTGGACAAGGGGAGAGTTGTTTTGCAGCACGCCACCTTCCCGGGGTGAGGAAAGAACCATGGGGAAACATGTCAGTGGGCCTAATAGGGTCATCTCACAGGCAAAAATTTGTTGGGGGGAATCATGATGCAAAAACACACATCTCACAGGCAAACACAGCGGCGATTTCTGTGGCGCTGTTTTTTTCAAGAGAGAAGGAAGTGATCGAGGAAAGCTTCAGTTGTTTCGTCTTGAGAAATTCTTTTGGTGGATGTGTTGTTCTTGGAGCGGTTTGATCGTCTCGAAACGGACAGACATGTGGGACAGATGGTTTCGACCACGCGACCCGGAGGTCCTTAGGTCCAATCCTCCCGGGATCCAGTCGTACCGAACCTCAGGTACGGTGATTGGGGACACGTACAGACATGTAGGTTTTGGGGGTCCAGTACCGAACCTGAGAAGGTACGACTGGATTTGTAGGGCGAAGGTACCCTCCCTCAAACCATCATGGTTGCGCTGAGCAGACCTGCCTTCTAGAGGACAAGACTGGTCGAAACAAGGGGGCCGAGCTGTTTCAGGGAGCGAAGGCCAGGAGACAAGGCCAGGAGCTTGTCCTACGGCAGCTTCTTGTTGATATGTATGTACTGTATGTCTACATCTATGGGTGTTTAACATCATTAAGTATAAGAATTCAGCCACCTTGACTAAATGGTGACTATATCCATGTGTGGTGTTTGTCCGTTGATGAGACCGCCATCGATTGTTCTGAAGAATCAACCTCTGGGAAAGGTGGATGTGAACAAAGTCGGATTCAGAAACTGCACTGTATTCGGAAACTATTTCGTTGTATTCAGAAACTCTTGTATTCAGAAACTATTTCGTCGTATTCAGAAACTCTTTTCGTCGTATTCAGAAACTATTTCGTCGTATTCAGAAACTATTTCGTCGTATTCAGAAACTATTTCGTCGTATTCAGAAACTATTTTTGTCGTATTCAGAAACTATTTTCGTCGTATTCAGAAACTATTTTCGTCGTATTCAGAAACTATTGTTCCTCATGCTCAGAAACTTCTATTCCCAAACTAGGGGGCAATGTGAACAATCGCACGCGTGGACAGTTGATGCGTTCTCTTGCATTCAGGGTGGGG